TACGCGGCTATTGGGGCCAGCTGGGGAATTACTTGAAGGACGGTCGCCATGCGATGAATTTTTGGCCCCCATCTGCTCGCGGCAAGTCCCGCCACCGTCCCCGAGTTGCGGGTTATAGGCTTATGGGTTATAGTATCTTGTTCGTTCGTGTGCCGGGCCAGTTGGGAGGCAGTTTGCAAGTCTCGAGTTTCTTGTGGGGGTTGCCCGGTGGCTTCTTCGGGTTTGGTTGTTGGGGCTTCTTGGGGACCTCGTCGAGGCTTGCATTGCAGGGAGGGTCTTTGCAGGGTCTTTGCAGAGGTTCTTTGCAGGGTCTTTGCAAGGTCTTTGCAGGGGGCGGTGCGATCGGGATATAATATATGATATATGATATATGTGACTGGGGGGGGGGCCGTGCCCTTTGAAGATTCGCGGTTGGCCCCGAGAGGAAGTGAAAAACCGAGCGCGAGTTGACCGCGTGGTGCTTCGTCGCAGCTCCTGGGCCATCATCGCCGAGCTTGGCCCCAAGTTCCAGCCCGCGCTGGCGGCGCAGCATCGGCGCATGACCATCTCGATTCTCGCGATCTTCCGCGTGAGGAGCTATTTCGAGGAAAGAGAACTATGCACATGCACCGATTCTGGCCAGGCCCATCCTGAGCCCAGGATCTGTGCATACGACCTCCTGCCTTGGCCAGGAAAGCCTATGCACCGATCCCGGGCACAGGATAGGCCTGGCCAGGATCGGTGCATGTGCGTACTTCTCTTCGCCCGACTATTGGGGCCAGCTGGGGCAGTATCTGAACGAGGTGAAAAAGAGGGGTACCATCGCGCAGTGAGGGCAAACGCGGCAGCCCGCAGCCGGGCCGAGTAGGGCCCCAGAGGGAGAGGACGGACTGGAGGAGGGTGGAGACGACGGGGGAGAATTGGGGGAGGGTGGGGGAGGCCGGGAGGACGAGGGCGAGGAGGACAGCGGAAGGAACGCAGACCTTGCACGCCAGAATGAGTTTCACTCGAATTTGCGTCCGGGGGGGGGGATAGCAAAGGGAGGTGCGCGACATTCGGGCCGGGCGAAAGGGGGGGATTGGGAAAGGGGGGGTTACGAAATTTGCTGCATGCAGCTGGTTTCGCCTTCACCGAAGGGCCCATTCCTCGAGATATAGCCGCCTGCGGCGCCGGGGGGCGCCGGGAAAATCAGCTACGCGAGCTGATTCTCACCGCCCCCCCCCTTTGCTACCCCCCCCTTTCGCCCGACCCGAGACATCTGATGCTGACGCACGCAGCTTCCTTTCTTATTCGCACCTCCCATCCCTTGGGCCGCGGTTGAAAAACCAGCTGCATCGGCATTTGTAGTCGCCGCCCTTTTCCACCCCCCATTTTCGACCGCCCAGATCTCGCGCATGATGCGCGCATGGGGCATGGATTCTGGGTCTGAACTTGCGGAAATGCCCCCTCCTCGCTCGCCCTTCCCCTCCCCCCCCCCTCCTCAGCGACGGGGGCTGCGGCGATTTCCCAGAGAGGGGGGGGCGATTTACAGAGCGGAATTTGCGGCGAGAGAACCCCCCGGAGAGTTGGGAACAGGAGGCGCGTTTAGCAAAATGGGCTTTGTTTTTTTTCGCCGCCGGTGGGTTCTGAAAGCTTGATATTTGCGATCATCCTGGCAGCATTTCGATGTCAGTGGACCCCCCCGCGACGTCAGCGCCCCCGTCTGCCCCCCCCCCTCTTCGATGTCAGTGCCCCCCTCCCGCGGGGGCTCCCAGGGGCCCCGTCGTCGATTTCCTTGACATGCTTATCGCCCCTCTCAGCGTATAATGTAGGTAGATCCAGATCTAAGCCACTTTGGCATCCTTCGATGACCCCTCTTTCTCCTTAGTTACCCCCGCGCCGATCCCAACGGCATCCTCGCACCGACCCCCATCCCCAGACGTACGAATCTATGTTGATTTCAGCTTCCAGGACCCGCCATCCGGTCCTGGGGCCATCAGAAGCGGGGGTGTCGGGAATTTCTTGGGGCCGCGGAGCTTGGAAGCCGATCCCCATCCCCAGTGGGCCATGGTATCTCAGCCTCGCCAGCCCGCCCTCATAGGTGGGGATAGGCCCCGCGAAACACGAAGGGAACAGCATATGTTAGGGGCGTAAGTCGGCGAGTGGGGCCAAGGCCATGCCAGTGGGGATGGGGATTGGTTAAGCGATGCTCACTCGGCAGTTCTGCTTTCGGACTTTCTGGAAATTTTCGGTGGCCATTGGAGGTTATATTCGCCTCGAGATGCCTTGTGGCAGCTGCGCCTTGCCGAGAGCTTTCCTAGGGTGCCCGACTTGTCAAGAATGGCTTCATCGGAGGCACGAGCTGCGCCCCGGGGACCAGACGACGAAGATCACCAATGGTGCCCGCTGTTCGGTCGGTCTGGCTGCGTCGCAGCTGACCGCATTCGGTCGGTGCGGTTTCGTCGGTTGCTGCGCGGCTGCGTCTTTCTCAGGTCCGCGTTCGGTCCTTCGGTTTTCGGTTTCGCTGTCGGTCGAGTCGGTTTTCGATCTTGGCGTCGCCGTGCCCAGATCTCCGACGTCGTGTGTTTTTTCGCAGCGTGGATCCCCCAAGATTTCGACCAGGTCCACAAGGCCGGCTTTTGTCCTGGGGCCTGGATGAGGCCCCAGGAGTTCGAAAGCTGACAAAACCGCCCGTCGTTTTTTCCCAACAATCTTGTGTCTTGTGGTGTTGGGTCTTCCTTTTGAAGAAAAACTGCCCCGCATGTCACTCCTCCTTCCTCCAGCCTTTCCTCCTTCCCATCTTTGCCTGTGTCCCCCCTACCCATGTCGGCACACCCCTCACTCGGTTCGTGGCCCCATAGGGAGTTCCACGGAAGGTCTCATTGGTACAGTTCGCATGCGTCTCCCCTGTAGCCATTTTGGTTCAAGGTCTGCACAGTTCGAACGCAGTCAATATCGAGTACCTCCGCACAACATTCACAGCCTTTTCTTGCTTCGATGATTCTGGAGCGCTTTACTTTGCAACGCTGGACTTAAATGTTCTGGCGAAGCGCTCGATGTGGCCAGCACGTAATCATAAAAAAGATTGTGGCAGCCATGGGGTTCCAAACGCTGGTCCTCTCGCGCTCCTCTGAGGCGTTTTGCAGGCTCGCGACTCAAACCTGTATCCTTCTCAGGTCGGCTATGACAGCGACGATTCCAAACACGAGTTGCCTTCATTGAAGAGTTTGAGAAACGAGTGGCTAGCATGGAGATACTTCTATTTCGCACCAGCCTGTCAGACGCCAAGGACACCGACGAAATTGTCGTACGAGCGACGCAGATTACGATGCGAACTACTTCTAGAAGCCCAGCGCCGGACGCAGAGTCTTCGCTTCAAAAGAGAATCAACCCATGTGCTAAGAATCCGTTCATCTTGATCACGGCCTTGACTGCGATAGGCAACGCAAGGCTGCCGCACGTAACTTGGCAAATGCAGATATTTTGCAAGATCTCATGTCACGCGATTGCTTCATGAACGCAAGCAACGTCGTATCGGAAACAACGAAAGGGCAGAGCCAATTGGAGAGCGACGCAACCTGTTTGTATTCATGAGTACGTTGTGTAACCGAGCTTGGAGGACGCGGCAATCACAGACGAGTTTGAGAAAGGCTACCGGTTGGGCAGAGGTGTGCGCGGGGAGCCCGGGGGATTTCGTACAGGTAGCCGCGTGTTTTGACAGCGAGCGCGCCGACGCCAGAGTCACGATACGTCGAGGCAGTAAAGGGTATCTGCACAATGTTGATGAGGACGGGGACGAGCTTGTTTCTTTCCCAATCATGCTGCCCCAGGATCTCCCGAGATGGTTCGCCAACCGTTGGGCATTAAGCGATCAGGTCCACTACTTCAGCGCGTGTAACACGTGTACATGGGACACGTGGTAGCGCAGTTCAGATCATCGGGATGTGATGAGGAAGTCATGCTCGTTGTAGAGACGCATTAGGCAACGATTTTGGACGCGCGGGCCACTAGCAACTCGTTTTATGATTTTGTTGAATCCACGGTGGTGCTCTTATTATGTATGTACATTTTCTCGTTTCTTGCGTCTGTTTTCTGTCTGCTACCCATCGCGGTGCTTCTCCCCCATCCCTTTTGCCCCATGTTCAGGCAGGCCTTCCGAAGTTTATCATGTTCCAAGATCGAACCATGGGCGCCACGGCGCCAGCGCTCCGTTTCTGGAGGGACCCCGCCCCGGTGCGTATGCGAGTTTCCGTCCGTCCGTCCCCGGCCATGTCGGCACGCTTGTCGCATGTTCCGTGACCCCATGAGGGGGTTCCACCGAAAGTCCCAGCGTCACAGTTCGCATGCGTTTTCCCCGCCCATGTCGACACACCCTTCGCACGTTTAGTGGCGCCATTCGGAATTCCATTGAGGGTCCCTGTGGCGCAGTTCGTATGCGTCTTCCCCGCCATTTTCAGCACCCCCCACACGCGTCTCGTGGTCGTGGCCCCACTGGAAATTCCACCGAGGTGACCAGTTGCACAGTTCGCACGTTTCTCGCCCGCGCATGTCGGCTCTGTGCCAATGTCAGCACACCCGTCACAAGGTTCGTGGTCGTAGACCAATAAAGCGTCCCACCGAAGGCCCTAGTGGCACAATTCGCTTGCGCTTCTCCCGCCCATTTCGGCACACCGTTTACACGTTTCGTGGCCCCGTAGGATAGGGAACTCCACCGAAGGTCCCAGTGGCAGTGTTCGCATGCGTTCGCCCGCCCATGTCGATACACCCCTCGCACGTTTCGTGGCCCTATATGGAGCTTCACCGAAGGCCCCAGTCGCAGTGCTATCATGCGTTCTCACCACCAACGCGTTCCTCACACGTTTCTTGTCCCCATAAACGATATTCGCGTTTGCGTTATTTTCAGCTGCATATGGTTGGGTCTTTCGTCCAGATAATGGTGTTTGTTACCTTCGTTTGTTTTTTTTCCAATGCACTCGGAGGTCTGGGTGGGCTGCTCTGGCATCTCCTTGGATACGCCCGCATCGTGAAGGTTCGGTCGGCGGATTTATACTTCGCGGGGTACTCGTCAGCCGGCCCCCCCCCCGTCAGCGCGGTGGTTGTGGAGGCCGCGCGGCGAGGCCGCCAGCCCGGGCCCGAGGCCCGCGCGAGAGGATGTCCGGCCCGCCGCTGGTGTCTCGCCGGGAGGGGGAGGCGACCGCGGCGCGAAACCCGAGGAGGTTGATCCAGGCTTGTCGGATGGGGTCCGAGCAGATGCGGTCGGAAGGTCGCGCCGCCTCGCCAATGCATCGGCCATTCGGCTCGATGCGGAACCCGATTTTCACCACGCTGGCGTCGCCGATGCATCGCCGATGCATCGGCGATGCGGCGCGGTCCTCCGACCCCATCTATTCGGACCTCGTTCAAGGCTTCCAGTTGATCGGGTCGGGCGAGAGAGGGGGTTACCGGGAATGGGGGGATTTCGAGATTTGCTGCACGCAGCTGGTTTCAACCTTTCCGCCAGGCGCTTCCCTCGACGCATGCGCACCCACGTCTCGGGGAGGCGCCGGGAAGATCAGCCACGCAGTCTGGCTGATTACCTCTCTTTACTCCCCTCCCGTTTTGTCCGTCTCGAGTTGATGCTTTTGGTGCCCCTTCGCTCTTTCTGAGTCTCTGGGGAAGTTGCCACAGCTGGAATCCCTTCGAGGTATTGGTCAGAACGCACTTCAGGACGTGTCCAGGGTCCAGGGGCTGGTTTTCGCCCCCCTGGACCAAGATCCCTCGTGTGGTGAAAACACCGCTGCGGCAGTTTGTTGGCCGGTGGCGGTTTCGGAGGAATCATACTGGGGCCGTCCAAAAACAGCTCGGGATGAAAACTGGTCCGCGTCGTGAACAAGTCACGGCGTCGGGGGTCCAGGCTGTCCTCGGACCTCGGAGCGTGCGACAGGGGCGTGCAGCCCAGGTGGGGTCGTTACGCTTTCGTTTTCGGGCATCGTCCAGCAGCTGGGTGGAGTTGGGGGCCCATGGCGGGCCTGCTCAGAAGGCCCTGGGGGCCTCCGGCCGTCTTCCAGGACTCCTAGGTGGGGTCGGAGCTGATGGGGTCGGAGGATCGCGCCCGTCGCCGATGCAGCGACGATGCGGCTCGATGTGGAGCCCGATTTGCTTCTCGTCCTCGTCGCCGATGCATCGCCCACGTCGACGATGCATCGCTGGTGCATCGCTGGTGCATCGCCGATGCATCGCCGATGCATCGCCGATGTATCGGCGTCGCCGATGTATCGGCGATGCGGCGCGATCCCCCGCCCCAAGCCTTCAACGGGCTCTGGTTTGCCTGGCGGTGGCACTTTACGTTGCATCTTCGGGGGACATCGTCTGCTCCCAAGATTGATATCTCTCCTCGGGCCCGACGCGGGCCCGATGCGGACTCGACGCGGATTTGGCGTGGATTCGACGCGGATTCGACAAGGATTCGACACGGATCCGACGAGCCCGACATGGATTCGGCGCTGACAATTCGGGACGCGATGGGTCACCACCCACCAAACCACCCCAACCCAACCCGAAGGCTCAGATTTACCCTCGATTTCCAGTGGGGGGGGGGGTCGGGAAACGTCGAAAAAGCGCATGTGGAACCCTTACCCCCCCCCCAACCCGAAATTCGGGTCTTCGGGTTGGGTTGGGGTGGTCTGGTAGGTAGTCAATGGGATGGAGCGCTCCGAGCCTTCACCATGGGCTCCGGGCTGCCCGGCGGTGGCGACCCCCGCGGGGGGCGGCCACGCCGCCTTCCCCGGGGGACTTGGCTCGGGCCTGTGGGCGGCCCACTGCGCGGCCAGGCCCGACCGGCGGCGGCGCCCATGCCGGGCGCGGCCTGAGGTCGGCATCCCCCCAACATACTTATACTATGTGTTCGTCGCCCCCCGGGCGACGCGCGCACCGAGGAATCTTATAGTATATGCGTCGTGGCGGGCGCATTCTGGCCACACCGCTCGGGAAACGATATACTACAAGATGGGTATACTATATGTTCGGGTCGGACGCGCGCCTCCAAGGCGGACATACAGTATTAGTATGTCTCTGTGCGTCCCATGAGGCGCGAGAATCGGCGCTCAAGTCGACCAAAAGACAAGCTAGAAGCAACACCACCCCACCTGCGGCCCTCCATAGCGCGTCACGGCCCATCGGGGGCCGTGGCGTATACCATGCACAAAGCCCGCGCCAGATCTCCTGCTGTACGCTAAGCCCCGTGGGGCCGAAGGTGGGATGGTGTCGTTTGTTGCGAAAGCATAACGAAGTTTGCGCAGTATCAATCGGAGCCGAGGCTTCTTTGAGGGCCGGCGGGTGGGCGCAACAAAGTAGAACCACCGAGTTCGGCCATGAAAGTGTGGTTTTCCAAACCCCCCTCTAAGGAAGCTTAAGGGGGGGTTTCGCCATGAGCACTCCAATACGAGATTGTATATAGTACGCCAGGGTGAGCTAGGCACAGTGGAGGTAAAGATTTGTAATGCCCCCGGCCTCGGGCACGAGGGCCGGTGCCTCGGGAATTCAAGGGGGTACAGCGCCTCGGGAATTCAAGGGGGTACAGTGCTTTGCTTGAGCCCCAGCCCTTGAGCCAACCCAGAGATGCAGTCTGCTTCAATTTTCCCTTTCCGCCTACGTGGCCATGTTGGCTCGAGGCCAAATGCTTACTCACAGATTTGCGACTTCTCTTCCTCGACTGTGCCGTCCTGCGATCCCCTGTATCAGGTTGGGTTGCGGCAGCCATGGCGGCGTCCTTGGCAGAGACGGCACTCCCGAGTCAGGAGGAGATCAACACGCTTGGGCTGGCCACGGCAGTGGGGCCCATCGCCACCTGGGCCGGCCTCGCGGAGGAGCCCTTGGCGCAGTTGTCCGAGGTCTTGGGGTTCAGCTCTGTGCAGGACTTCAAGCAGGCGCCGCCGCGCCTGCTGGCGGCGTCCCCGCCGGAGGCATTCAAGGAGGCGCTCAAGGAGTGGATGGGCGCCTCATTCCTCTCCAAGGCTGGCGCGCGCCTCCTCTACAAGGTAGCGGTGGCGCTGTGCACGGCCAAGGTCTCTTCGGAGGCCAGGCCGGCCGAGGGGGCGGCGACCACCAATGCGAAGAAGAAGCTGAAGCTCGCGCACCTCATCGACAGCACGGACGACACGGAGATCAACGCGCCCGACACGGACCAGGTGACACGATGGTTCGAGAACTACGCCGAGATCAAGCACGGGGAGCCGCTCGAGCACCACGAGCCGACCCCGGACCATATCGCAGCGCTCCACACCCGCGTTGTGGAGCTGAAGGCGGAGCCGTACGCGGACTTCTCGCTGCTCACGCCTTACGGCCGCCGCATGGCCAAGATCCTCCGCCACCGGAGCTGGTTCCTCCAGGAGGACGGCTCCTACAAAGCCATGGAGGTACCAGGGCCCGCGAGCTTCGAGGTCTGGGAGAAGTGCTTCGACGTCTACGAGGTCATCCTCCTCATGCTCCGCTTTCCGCCGGCTGCGGAGGGCGACGGCCGCCCGGAGGTCGTGGTTACGCCAATCGCGATCGACGCTTACCGGGAGGCCTTCAAGCAGCTGTGCAAGGAGCACCCGGAGTGTTGGCACCTTTGCCAGCGCGCCGAGGACCGCTGCCGGGCGGAGCACTTCGCCAGGGTAGCGCGCAAGCTCCGGGACAAACACCGGCGCAAGCCTACTTGGAGCGAGGTCTTCCAGGAGGCTGCCTTGGACGACCGCTACTGGGACCGCGAAGTGCGGCGGCCGGCGCTGGGGTTTCTCGCCAGGAACAAGCGCCCCCAGCCGACGGCGACGACGCTACTTCAGCAGCGTCGCAGGAGCCCCCGGCGAAGAAGACGGTCTCCCAGAAGCGCCGGGAGAGGAAGCAGAAGCTGGTGGAGGTTGGGAGCGAGAGCAATCCAGCGAAGGGCAGCCGCAAGGGCGAGACACACCCCAGGAAGGACAAGCAGGGCCGGTTCATTACGACGCGGGAGGGGCAGGAGATCTGCTTCAAGTACGCGAACGGCCCCGACAAAGGCGGGTGCACGGCGCCATGCCCGTCCAGGCGGGCTCATGTCTGCCAATGGTGCCTCCAGCCGCATTCCAACGGCAGCTGCACCATCAAGAAAACGACTTGACTAGCCAGCCCCTGGGGCCAGGGGATCCACGAGGCCAAGGGGCAGGGGAACCTGGGGGTCAAGGACGAGGAGGAGGAGGAGCACGAGGAGGAGAACTGCGAGGTCAGGGACTTCGAGGTCGCCGAAGCTGGGTGCGAGAGGAGCCAGGTCGTCACCGACAGCGCTGCCCTACGCGCGGGGCAGACCGGGGCTGCCCGACGCCCTCCGGATGGCGTGGCGCTTCCAGAACCGAGGGCTGCCAGGGAGGCTGCAAACAATGCGGCCCTTGGTGGGCTCCGAAACCCCAACCGGGCAGTCGCCAGATCTGTCGGGCTCAGGCGGACGGGCGCCCAGGTCCGGAAGGTCCTCGACGAGGTGCTCGACCGCTCATCGTTCAAGGAGAGTGTCGTCTCGGTCATCGACCAGATGGGCACGGACCAGTGCAATGGCTTCAGCCAAGAGGCCGTGGAGTTCACCCAGGAGGCGCTCCGGAAGGAGTTCGGGGCTTCGCGTTCGGACCCCGGCACCGTTTTCGACCACCAGCTATGGAAGTCACTTTTGGACGCGGCGGGAGATCCAGAGACAGAAGTTCCGGGCTGGCTCCGGCACGGTTGCCCGACCGGCATTGGGGAGTCGGAGGTTCGCACGTGCGGCATGTTCCCGCCGGTGGACCATGCCAGCGCAGCCATAGAGAAGGCCAGACAGTTCGCTGCCCTCCGGGCCGCGCAGGAGTGGAGGCACGACCTCCACAAGAACTACGCCAGCTTCTACACCGACGGCGGCGCTCTGGCGGAGCAGGAGGTCCAGCGCATCGAGCAGCGCGGCTACATCGAGATCATCCGCGACTGGGACGAGGTACGCAGCAGATGGCCCGATGCGACGGCGAGCAAAGTTGCGCTCCTCGTCAAGACGCGGGAGGACGGTTCGACGAAAGCCCGCATCATCATCGACCTACTGCGCTCGGGGGTCAACGGGGGAGTCGCCCTCCCAGAGCGCGTGGTCCTACCCCGCTTGTCGGACCTCACGGCCGCGGTTCTCGACCTCATGGAGATCGACGTCAGGGCCGACTGGCACCCGGACGAGGATTGGTACGAGCTGTGCACGGTGGACTTCGAGGACGCCTTCCACACCCTATCGCTCCGAGCAGCCGACCGGGGGAAGATGGTCTTCAAGACGGCGGCTGGCTGGGCAGTCTTCCGCCGCCTGTGCTGCGGGATGGCTTCGGCCCCCTTGGTTTGGGGCAGAGTCGGCGCCGCTGCGTGCAGGCTGGGCCAGGCGATGTTCCAACCGCACGAGCTCAGAATCCAGTGCTTTGTGGACGACCCCGCGATCTGCACTCGCGGCCCCCCGCACCAGCGGAAGCGGCTCTTGGGTGCGCTCCTCCTGTTCTGGGCCGCGCTTGGTTTCAGGCTCAACTGGAAGAAGGCCATTCGCGGGCAGACCGTGCCCTGGATCGGGGCACAACTGGAGCTCCAGCGCCAGTGGTGTCGGAAGTGCCGCCGGCACGCGTGGGGCATCCAGGTCACGCTGGCTCCGAAAAAGTGCCGGGAGATCGTCGAGGCCGTCGACGCGATCCACCGCTCGACGGGCGTTGTCCACGTCAAGGAGGTTCGCAAGATCGCCGGCCAGCTCTCGTGGGCCAGCGGTCTACTTCCTTGGCTTCGCGGGTTCAACGCCTGCCTGTGGGCGGCGTTGGCGGCGCACGACCAGGGGCAGAACGCGCAGGCCTTGAGATTCTCGGCCAAGAAGCGGCCCGGCCAGCTCTTCTTCTTGCTGCGAATCCAGCAGGCGATCACCTGGATCCGCTTGCTGTTTGCCGGGCTCATCCGGGACCGCGAGGGCAAGGCGATCACAGTCCAAAGATGGACAAATGCGACAACCCGCCTAGCCGACCTGTCGGCGTGCATCCGCACCGACGCGTCCCCGTACGGGTTCGGCGCGATCTTCTTCGTCGATGGGGCGCCGCGCGCCTGGATCGCCGAGGAGTGGGCGGACGCGGACCTCGAGCTGCTCCACGCGACCCGCGGGGACCCAGCGTGGCAGGCCGAGTGGGAGTTGCTCGCGCTCCTGGTTGCCGTGGATTGCTGGCTGCCGCGCCTCAAGGACGAGGCGCTCGCGCTGCTCCAGACGGACGCCGCCGCGGCCCTCTTCAGCGCAGCCAGGCTGGCCGGGAGAACGCCGCTCATGAATGCTCTCGCGGCGGAGTTGGCGCTGCGGTTCGAGAGCGCGAATGTCCACGTCAGCCTGGGGCACGTTGCGGGCGCGCTGAACTTCGAGTGCGACGCGCTGAGCCGGATTTCGCAGGGCGCGGCGATTCCGCGCTCGCTCAGGTCGGCCAGGCGCGACAGTGCGCGGCAGCGCTCGCCCTCGTTCTTTTGGGCATGGCCGCGAACGCTACTGACCGGCCGCTCAGAGGCCCATGCAGGTGCATGTGGGCCGGCCGCCTTCGGCAAGGGGGGGCGGACTTCGCAGCCCTCGGGCCGGCGCGGAGGGCGGCCGTACTGAAGGGCAAGGCCAATGGCAAAGGCCAGCGACCGGGGGAAACCGCCCGTGCACCGCAGAGGCCGAAAGCGAGCACGTCGCGAGCATCGGTGAGCGCAGGCGCGGATGCCTCGGCAGGAGGCGCAACGTCGCCCGCCGGGGCTGCGTTGCACGCGTCGGCGATGGCCGGCCTTGCAGTCGCCCCGGGGGGGAGGGAGGAGGGGTCAGCCCATCTCCAAGCTGCGTCGCGCGCGTCGGCGAGGGCTGACCGCGTGGCCGCTACGAGGGCCGGGGCTGGCGCCCGCTCGGCTGCCCATGCTGCGTCGCTGGCGTCGGCGATGGCTGGCCCCGCGGCCGCCTCGGGCGCCGCTCCTGCACAGCTTCCGGCTGCGTCGCGCGCGTCGGCGAGGGCCGACCGCGCGGCCGCTTCAGGAGGCGGGGCGGGCGTTGGCTCGGCCGCCCGCGCTGCGTCGCAGGCGTCGGCAAGGGTCGGCTCTGCGGCCGCGTCGGGCGCGGAGCTTGTGCCTCGTAAGAGCAGGAAGGATGTCCCAGACGTCAGGGCGACAAAACGCCCCTGCAGAGCAGAGGTGCTCACGGCCATCTCCACGATCAAGGGGAAGGAGGAGGTCCTCGCCAGGCTCCTGCAGGACACTTCAGCGGCCAGCAGCAAGCTCACCGCCGACTCGCTGTGGGCAACCTGGTCGGTGTTCCACCAGGCTTGGTTTGGCGAAGCGACGCCGGCCCTCCCGCTGAGCGCGGAGACGGTCTACGCTGTCGCCGCTTGCTTCAAGCAGGGGGGCTACCGGGGGCTCCCTGCGTACATGGCCAAGGCTAAGGAGGCCCACACCCTCGCCGGCTGGCCGTGGGATGAGCAGCTGGACCTTGCTCGGCGGAAGGCCACGGCATCGGTCCTCCGGGGCTTGGGCGTTGCGAGACAGTCCGCGCCCTTCGACCTCAACGCAGCGGTCAAGGCGGTGCGCGAGGGCAGCGTCCACCTGGGGCCGCTCGCGCCCGTGGGATGGGTGAACTTCCTCATCGTCGCCTCCATTTTTGTCATGCGGGAGATCGAGGCGGCGTTTGCCAAGGTCGGCCACGTGACCCTCAACAGGGCCGAGCGCAAGGTCAGCCTCAGGCTCCCAGTCTCCAAAAGGGACCCGCGGGCCGTCGGCTGCACGAGAACATGGGGTTGCACGTGCGCGAGCCCGCTGTCTCGTGAATTGTGCCCGTATTGCGCGGCAGATGAGCAGTTGGGCATGCTCCGGGACATGTTCGGCCCGAGCTTCGATGACGACTTGCCGCTCTTCCCAACCCGCACTGGCGGGGTCTGCCTGAAGGCCAACATCGTGGCGGCGCTCGAGGCCACCGTTGCGGCTTACGGAGGCGCTCCGTTCCACCCGAGTGGCGCGAAGGCTTTGGGAGGGCATTCTTTCAGAGTCACGGGAGCCCAGAGGTTGGCCATCGCAGGGTTGGAGGTGCACAAGATCATGCTGCATGCGCGGTGGGCCGGCGACACCGTTCTCCGCTATATCCGCGAGGCGCCCTTGGAGAATCTCCCAGCGGAGGTGATCGCTCTCGAGGAGAAGCGCTCGCTCATCGAGTCCCTCGCCAAGGCGCAGGACGACGTGATCAAGGTTGGCGACCAGGTGGCTGCCCAGAAGCAGGACGTCGCGGACGCGCTGGCCGCCCTGCAGGAGCGGCTCGCCAAACTCGACGCCGGCTCCGCCAAGCCATACGTCAGCGGCGGAGGCTCGAGGAGGTTCCGGGTCCACGAGGTCGCAGTGGAGGGGCTCGACGTCCCCCCGCAGCTGTGGAGGACCAAATGCGGCGTCAGGTTCGCCCACTGGTGCTTCACGAAGCACGCCTCCCTGGAGACCTTTCCGGGGGACGCTCGGTGCCGAAGCTGTTTCCGGAGGCGTCCGTCCGCACCGAGCTCGTCGGCTTCGAGTCCCTCATCGTGTTCGGAAGGCTCCACGTCTTGAGGCCAGGTGGGGAGGTGCGAGTGTGGCGGCGACGGCTGCCCTCTCGCCACCCGCCGCCGCGGCCTCAAGCACGCGAGACTGAGCGTGCAACCACCCAGCATCTGGAGACAAAAAGGTTCTTGCCTGGGTGGTGGGAGGGATGTGCGTGAGAAGCTGTGCGGAGATTGATGCGAAAGCATAACGAAGTTTGCGCAGTATCAATCGGAGCCGAGGCTTCTTTGAGGGCCGGCGGGTGGGCGCAACAAAGTAGAACCACCGAGTTCGGCCATGAAAGTGTGGTTTTCCACCCCCCCCTCTAAGGAAGCTTAAGGGGGGGTTTCGCCATGAGCACTCCAATACGAGATTGTATATAGTACGCCAGGGTGAGCTAGGCACAGTGGAGGTAAAGATTTGTAATGCCCCCGGCCTCGGGCACGAGGGCCGGTGCCTCGGGAATTCAAGGGGGTACAGCGCCTCGGGAATTCAAGGGGGTACAGTGCTTTGCTTGAGCCCCAGCCCTTGAGCCAACCCAGAGACGCAGTCTGCTTCAATTTTCCCTTTCCGCCTACGTGGCCATGTTGGCTCGAGGCCAAATGCTTACTCACAGATTTGCGCCCACCCACCCTCCCAGCAGGTTTCTTGCGGCGGCGACGGCTGCCCTAGGGGCCTCTGGAGACAAAAAGGTTCTTGCCTGGGTGGTGGGAGGGATGTGCGTGAGAAGCTGTGCGGAGATTGTTTTCTGGTTCATCAAAGGACGGGGGTCCATGCAAACAGGGGTGAGTCAGAGCGCCGGATCTTGCAGGATCCTGCAGAGCCAGGGTTGCATTGACCTGGGTTTGGGTGCAGGATTTTGCAGAGCCTGACTGGCCTGGGTCTTGATCGACCTGTGTCAGTAGATCCCCGAGTGCGACCGTGGCCAGGCCCCGAGCCGCGGGCGGATGCCCCGTGCCTCTGGCGCGCTGGGTCCTGAGGCTTTTAGGGGTTTTCGTGGGTGCTCGGCGGTTTTCCAGCCTCGGGACGCTTTCCAGGTCGCAGCTGGATCCACCTCGCATTTCTGGGCAGGCCGCACCCTGGAGAGGTCCATGGGTAGATTTTTCGCCCCTGACCAGGGGTCACGTTCGGGGGGTTCGAGGTTCGAGATTGTAAGGCGTTTTCGTCGCTCCTCGTCGTCTGGCTTGCGGGTCATGGCTCGGGCCTTGGGCGGCCGCTCGGGGCGATCCGGGCACCCCCAGACATCTCTCGGTTGCGTCCTGTCGGATCGGTTCGGGCGGCTGCCGTGCTGCTGCCGCGCCGCCGTGCCCACTCTGGGCTGCTTGCAGCCCGTCGGCTTCCGTTTCGCCGTCGACTCGGCCGGTCTTCGACTGTGCTGTCGCCGTGGGCGGCCTTAGAAACGGGTCCTGAACTCGGCATCGCTCGGACGCGAATGCACGGAGAGCGGGCGTCCAGGCGACGGCGGGTGGAGGTCTCTCCGCCGGCCTCGGGCTCCTGGGGCCGTTCTTGCGCCCTGGGTCCCGTCGACGAGAACAGCCCCGAATGCCAAGAGGCTGGCCCTCGGGAGGGGGCCGCGGGGACGCAGGCCAGATGCTTCTCTCTCGGGACCAGACCTGGCGCGCCACGCCCACCGGGCTCGCGAGCTTCTGGTCAGAACGCATTCCGGGAGAGGTCCAGGGAGTACACCTTAGGCGATGCTTAAGAAAACTCAAGTTTTCGGCCAGAGTCTCGATTGTTCTTAACGTTTTAATGTAAATCTTAAGGTTTTAATGGAAATGTTGGGCTTTTATTCAAGTTCTGAGACTATGAATTTCTTAACCCATGATTTCTTAAGCATTTCGCAGGGTGTAGTCTGGTGGGTAGTCAGACCCCCATGCGGTCTTGTTCGTCCTGGGGCGCTCTCTTGGCCACGGCTGTGGAGCGCACCCCTGGAGAGGGCGAGGGTCCGACCCTGAACCCGCCACCCCGACCCTCTCGCGTCACGGAACACGGTCGGACCGAGGTATAAGATCGATGTCGGTTCGGTGAGGGTACCTTAGTGTTCTTCGTGCTTGTTGGATGTTTTTGTGCATCCTGGGGGAGGGCACCCTCGAATATTCTTCAGTTTAGGCCGGCGGAGGGTTTCATGTTCTTGGAGGATTTCTTTTGTCTTAGGTCCGACCGTGTCGGCACCCTTTTGTTCTCTCCACTCGTCGTTGCTGCCGCCGCCGCTTTCGTCCTGCTCCCTGAGATCCGACGTAGCGAAAGATTGCCACATCGCGGAGAATCACGACCAGAGCCTCGGACCCCATCTTTTTTGCGCCCATTCTCGAGCCAGATCGACCCGTGACAGTCCCGGGGCCCGAAACCAGGCGAAATCGCTGGGCTCGAAACCATTGCGACGACAGGATCTCAAGGATCGTCGTCTCCGCCGCCTGTCGCCGTCCCGCCGATCGCAGTTGTCCCCGCTCAGGATGCAACTCATGGGAGGTCAAACGCAGCATCGGCGCTGGTAGATCCGTGGCCGAAAGTTTACGTAATCTGGCACAGTCCCGCTCAGTTCTGCGTAATCTGGTTACATCCGGGCTAATCCAGCTCATTCGTGGGCTTAATCAATTCGGGCTAATTTGGCCACGTGGCTAATTCAATCGTGCTCGATAGCCCTTTAGTTTATCAGCGTCGAAATCCGAACCTCACTCTCGTCGATCAAAGATTCAACCAACTCGATGGGCCAGGGCTTGGACTTCGTCGAACACGTGACGAAATCCGAACCCCAACCCCGCCTCTCATCGATTCAGGAGAACCGATGGTTGGCGGGGGTGGGGTTCAGATGTTGCCACCTACTTGATCGTTCTGCCGAAGACCTCCCAGGAGTTGCCTCCTGACTCCTGGAGCTCTCCCAGGCCTGCGGCCTTGGGCGTCGCGCACTTGGGGGGCGATGAATATGGGGGGGCAGCGAAGGCTGAAGAAAAGGGTCATCGCCCCCCTATCAACCCTGAGATCCGACATCGCGAACAAAACGCGCCATCGTAAAAAAAACACGCCTGGAGCCCTGGACCCCATATCTTTCTGCGGAGTTTTTTCCGAGCCGCATCCGTCTGTGAGGGCCCCGTGGCCCGAAACGAGTCGACGGCGCCCGGCTCGGAGAAATCGAGACGCCAGGATCTCAGGGCAGCGCCGCCCAACGTAGGGCGACGACATCTATACATATCCACTGCTCCCTGACCAGGCCAATCCTGGGCCCAAGAGCGGTGTATACGCCCTCCTGGCCTGGCCAGGGAGGCATCTACACGGCTCCTGGGCCCAGGATGGGCCTGGCCAGGAGCAGTGGATATGTATAGATCTCGTCGCCCTAAGGATCTCAGGGCAGCGCCGCCCAACGCCCGGCTCAGGCACGCCCACGGCGGCCCGCGGCAGGGCCGGCCCGCCGCGGCGGTCGGGGCCCAGAGGCCGGGTGGCGGCGGGCGGCGGCCGGGGCCCGCTGGGCCTGCCGGGGCCGCTCGGGCGTTGCAGCATTGGGGGGGGCGAGGAGCTTGTGGTCCTCCTCCTGCTCCTCCTGCTCCTCCTCCTCCTCCTCCTCCTCCTCCTCCTCCTCCTCCTCCTCCTCCTCCTCCTCCTCCTCCTCCTCCTCCTCCTCCTCCTCCTCCTCCTTCCTCCTCCTCCTCCTCCTCCTCCTCCTCCTCCTCGCGAATTAGCCCGCCTGCAAGGGGGGGGTGGTACGGCGCCCTGGGGCGCACTCACGCAGCGAGGCTGCAGCGGGTGCGTGGGCGCGGCCGGGCTGAGGGGGCATCCCTGGCAGCGGCTGCGGGTCGGGGGTGAGGCACAAGGGGAGTGAAGAAAGGTGCGCCTGGGGTCAAGCGGTGGCGATGCCTCCTTGCTTGCCTACAGGCACACCAACTGATGTTCTACGAACCTTGTTCGTGGTTTGCACGAAACGGTCTTAGAGCATTTCTGGCTGAGACTGTCTTGGGCAAGACATTCGCGTTCTGTTCCAAGTCAATTCTTTGGTTCTAAGAGCATTCGTGGTACGCCCGGGCGGTCGGGCCCTGCTGAATTCGGGGCCCTGTGGGGCCCCCTTCTCCGCCCCCCATAAACTGCCTCCCCATTCAGCAACGTCCAAGCCGCCTTCGGTTCGATGCCGTGCGATTCGATTCGCCGGCTGGGGCCGCGATGCCGATTCGATTCTATTCGGTTCCCTTCGCCAGCCAGCATCGGCTGGGGCAGGCCTGGAGCAGGGCGTGGCAGTGCGGTTTCGACTCGATTCGGGACGATTCGCTGGCGACCTGATCCGTTTTCGATCCAACCCTGTTGCGCGATTCGATGCAGCTCGGGCCTGCCGGTGGAGATGAGCAGCAGACCGATCGAGCCCAGGCCGCCAGAGAGCCCGACCATTTTCGAGACCGAAGCTGCTGTTCGACAGAGCTGCAGTGGCGTCCAAGGGGTGCTCGCGGTTCGGTCGGTTCGGCTGCTGCGCGATCGGCTGCTTTCTATCAGCTGGGCTCAGTTGGGTCGGCTGCTGCTCCGCTGCCGTTCCGTCGGCTTCTGTCGGTTTCGGATGCGCTGTCGGCATCTGTCGGGTTTCGGTTTTGCTGTCGCCGTGGACGCCTGTGAAGGAGGTCGGCCGACTTTTGCTTGTTTCGGTCGGCGCTGCCCAGGCGACGATCGAGTCCAGGTCGACGGAGAATCTCCCGGTGAAGTTTTATGGCTGCTGGGACTGCCCCCACTGCCAGCGCGCCTGGATAGGCCTCGAGGAGAAGGCCGGGGCCCGCGGAGGAGTCAAGGGGTGGCCAAAGGGGGAGACGCCAAATTTTAAGAGCGTGCCGATGCGACAGGGCTCTGGCCAGTGAGCAGGTTTGACATGGGAAGGGCCTCACGCGCGGATTACTCATACAATCTGTTATTTTTGGTGCCAGCTCTAGTCTGCAGCATGCTTTAACTTCAGGTCCGTCGTTGGTACAGCTTCTCTTTTGCTCCACATGCATTCAGGCTTTCGCTCCATATCCGACTTGGCGGCTCTGGCGGTAGTCTTGGCGTTTCACTGGCTTGCCTTGCCTCTTGTTTGAGCCTTGAGCTCAGGTTCAGCTCAGCCTTGGATTTGTCTCTGGATATGCATACCCTCCGCACGACACGGTGACATCACGACATCACGACCCCACGACACTGACACCACGACACGGCGACACCCCGACGGCAGGACACTGCGACACCGCAACACCGCCTTACCGCGACGCCGGGACCCCGAGACACCGCAACATCGCGACACCGCGACGCCGCGACACCGTGACGCTGCGACACCGCTACACCGCCTCGCCGCGACGGCGCGACAACGCGACACCTCAGCGCCACGGCGCGCCGGCCCCGCGAGTCCCGGGGCGCCCTGCGACGTCACGGTATCGCCGCACCGCGGCGCTTCGCTGCGTAGTCTGCCGTCCGCTGGCAGAGGGATGGGTGCTGCGGGACGAGGGCATCTGCTGAAAACGAACTCGCGGCCACAGACACTCTCTTGCAGCTTTGCGCGTGCGTCGCGCGAGGCGTGAACCACGAGGCTACGACTTCTGGTAGGGGGCTGCCTCTCAGAGGCCGTTGCACCCCCTAAGCTACAGCCCGTTTGCGTGCACAGGCTTTATCGTATTGCCCATCTTCGCCCTTCTGCTCTCACTACTGCTCGTCTTCCGCCGTCTCCTAATTACCTTGTACGAGACGGGATCGAATGAACCACCTGTCTCTTTGAGTTTCCATATTTACCGTTTTTCAGCATATATGGAGTGCCGATGCTAACCGTGATGCTAACAATCTTGATTCACTTGGAGCAAGTGTCGAACATGGCTGCTAGATCAGTGCTGCTTTCTGCGTGGTGCTAAGTCAGTGTTGCCTTCCGTGTAGCCAGTCCTCCTGGCGATCAACCGATTGTGCTCAAATCCCGTCGTTCGTACAACAAGCTGCAAGAGGTCTCCAGGTCGCCTTGTTCCCAACCATCCTGTGGTGTTGGGTCCTCGTTTTGAAGAGACAGCGCCCCGCGTCCCACCTCCTCCTCCTCCTCTCTCCTCCCCCTCCTCCCTCCTCCCATCATCATCATCATCATCATCATCATCATCATCATCATCATCATCATCATCATCATCATCATCATCATCATCATCATCATCATCATCATCATCATCATCATCATCATCATCATCATCATCATCATCATCATCATCATCATCATCATCATCATCATCATCATCATCATCATCATCGTCATTGTCATCGTCGTCATCGTCATCGTCATCACCCACTTCGGCACACCCCTCACACGTTTCGTGGCCCCATAGGGAGCTCCACCGAAGGCCCGAGGGCTGCCGCCCGCATGCGTCCCCTACACCCATTTCGGCACACCCCTCACACGTTTCGTGGCCCCATAGGGAGCTCCACCGAAGGCCCCATGGCTGCCGTCCGCATGCGTCCCGCACACCCATTTCGGCACACCCCTCACACGTTTCGTGGCCCCACAGGGAGCTCCACCGAAGGCCCCAGTGCTGCCGTCCGCATGCGTCCCGCACACCCATTTCGGCACACCCCTCACACGTTTCGTGGCCCCATAGGGAGCTCCACCGAAGGCCCCATGGCTGCCGTCCGCATGCGTCCCGCACCCCATTTCGGCACACCCCTCACACGTTTCGTGGCCCCACAGGGAGCTCCACCGAAGGCCCCAGTGCTGCCGTCCGCATGCGTCCCGCACACCCATTTCACAGCTCCACCGAAGGCCCCAGCATGCGTGTTTCGTGGCCCCCGCTCCACCGAATGCCCCGTCATGCCGCACACCCATTTCGGCACACCCCTCACACGTTTCGTGGCCCCATAGGGAGCTCCACCGAAGGCCCCATGGCTGCCGTCCGCATGCGTCCCGCACACCCATTTCGGCACACCCCTCACACGTTTCGTGGCCCCACAGGGAGCTCCACCGAAGGCCCCAGTGCTGCCGTCCGCATGCGTCCCGCACACCCATTTCGGCACACCCCTCACACGTTTCGTGGCCCCATAGGGAGCTCCACCGAAGGCCCCATGGCTGCCGTCCGCATGCGTCCCGCACACCCATTTCGGCACACCCCTCACACGTTTCGTGGCCCCACAGGGAGCTCCACCGAAGGCCCCAGTGCTGCCGTCCGCATGCGTCCCGCACACCCATTTCGGCACACCCCTCACACGTTTCGTGGCCCCATAGGGAGCTCCACCGAAGGCCCCATGGCTGCCGTCCGCATGCGTCCCGCACACCCATTTCGGCACACCCCTCACACGTTTCGTGGCCCCATAGGGAGCTCCACCGAAGGCCCCAGTGCTGCCGTCCGCATGCGTCCCGCACACCCATTTCGGCACACCCCTCACACGTTTCGTGGCCCCATAGGGAGCTCCACCGAAGGCCCCATGGCTGCCGTCCGCATGCGTCCCGCACACCCATTTCGGCACACCCCTCACACGTTTCGTGGCCCCACAGGGAGCTCCACCGAAGGCCCCAGTGCTGCCGTCCGCATGCGTCCCGCACACCCATTTCGGCACACCCCTCACACGTTTCGTGGCCCCATAGGGAGCTCCACCGAAGGCCCCATGGCTGCCGTCCGCATGCGTCCCGCACACCCATTTCGGCACACCCCTCACACGTTTCGTGGCCCCACAGGGAGCTCCACCGAAGGCCCCAGTGCTGCCGTCCGCATGCGTCCCGCACACCCATTTCGGCACACCCCTCACACGTTTCGTGGCCCCATAGGGAGCTCCACCGAAGGCCCCATGGCTGCCGTCCGCATGCGTCCCGCACACCCATTTCGGCACACCCCTCACACGTTTCGTGGCCCCATAGGGAGCTCCACCGAAGGCCCCAGTGCTGCCGTCCGCATGCGTCCCGCACACCCATTTCGGCACACCCCTCACACGTTTCGTGGCCCCATAGGGAGCTCCACCGAAGGCCCCATGGCTGCCGTCCGCATGCGTCCCGCACACCCATTTCGGCACACCCCTCACACGTTTCGTGGCCCCACAGGGAGCTCCACCGAAGGCCCCAGTGCTGCCGTCCGCATGCGTCCCGCACACCAGGTGTGTGGCGTGCCGACATGGGCGTCGCGGCGCGCGGGCGCTGCCGTCGGGGTTCCCAGGGAAGCCCCCTGCAGAGGCGACGCTCAGAGTCACGAGTACCGAGAGTCACGCAGACCCAAACTGTTCACAGTCGTATACATACATTTACACTGGGCGTATCCATGCACGCATTCATGCGAATAGAATCAATCGCGCGCAGATTCATTCATAATCAGACTCGCTCGCGATCCGACTCGCACGCGCTCAAGCTTTCATATTCGGACCTATCGTCTTCGTTCGTGTTGTGTACACTGCCACGCATTTCGGCACACCCCTCATACGGCTCGTGGCCCCATAGGGAGCGCCACCGAAGAAGATATTCACAATTGCGGTACTCTCAACTGCATATGGTTGGGTCCTTCGCCAGGCTAATTTAATTTTTTGTAACCCAGTCTGTCCCCCCGGGAGGCCGATGCGTCCTGAGAGCTAGAGCTGGTTGATGGACGGGAGCCACGTATCTTCGCACAGAAATCAATGGCGGTAACTTGTCCTGTGATGGAGAGCCAGTATGAGCATGACGACAGCGTCTGCCGTCAGAATGTGATCGATCTGTTTCCATCTTTGGCCCCCATAGAGGAAATTATTCTCTGACCGACCCAGAGTCATATTGATCTTTGACGTTGTCTGAAGGTGGTGGACTACCAGTGGGTTGAGGTCGACCTGTACAACGCTCAAGGTGAAGGGGGGGGGGTTCGCTTTGCACGCTCGGGTGTTGAACTGCAGAGTCGCTTCTTGATTTGTCTTGAGAGCTGCGAGCAGGGTTGGTGCCCAGAGGGGGAACCAGCTTTTCTCGGTCTGTGGACAGCCTGGGGGGTGCGTGCGGGCTCGAGGTTTTGGTTGGAGTGTCGCTTGCCTTTGGTTTTTCCTCTTCCTCTCCCTCGCCCTCCTCCCGCCTCTTCTCATTGCATGGATTCCAGCACAGGCAAAGCTGACGAGGATCGGGGCCGGTGGCACCTGCCCCTCAAGGATCGAGGGATCTTCAACATGGAAGGTTGAGGAGAATGGCGACGAGGAGGAAGATGCTGACGATGACGATGTATCGCTGTCGCTGTATCCTACTGGCGCTTCTACTGCTCCCTCTCCCTCATAAATAACTCTTCCCTGTCGCACCCCGGGGCCGGTCGAAAGGGCGGGCCTGGCATTTCCTCACCATTTACGATTATGAAGCTTGACATTTGCAAGAGTTGCACGGATGGAGTGCGGTCCGCTTTCAAATTCTGGCTCTCGCTTTGGCGCTGCGTGCATTCGCTTCAAACATTTGCAAGAGTTTGACGGATGGAGGGCGGCCCGCTTTCAAAATGTGGTTGTCGCCTTAACGCTGCGCACAGGATCCCGCAAAACCTTTGCAATCTTGGAAGACGAATATGGGCGGCGCTGAGGCGAGAGCCACGCGCATATAATTATATATATATATATATATATGAACCTTCCAAGGAAACCTATGCGGAATCCACCTGAGCGTGCGCGACGCCGTTGATGGATAACGGTTGAGTTTCATCCATCTTCCGTAGCTGTGTTGGCTGGAGACAGGCAGCGGAGTCACCGGGCGGTGCCGCCCGTCTGTGGCCGCTGCCGAGCCACTCTGTCTACTGAAAGTTTGCCGCGCCGAGCGCGGCCGCTTGCAGGGCCACGCTCGGACGACTGATTCTGATCAGCCTCGCTGGCAGACTTTGCGGGCTGAGGGGAGCGAAGACCTGGCTGGGAGACGAGGATCCCGGGCGCGGGTCGCCCCTCTCCCGCGCTGCTGCTGGCGAGGAGCCCGATGGAGCGGGCAGCCCCGGCAGCTGTCGGGTGGCCCTTCCCGAGAGGGGCCTGGCTCGACGCGGCGCTGAACGGCGACCTGGTGCCGGGGCTGCCGCTGTGGGCTGGTGCACGGGTCCTGGCGCGTGTCAAGGACGACTTCGGGGCGCCGCAGGGCGTCGAGATGCTCGAAGTGGAGGTCGCCTACCAAGCGGACGCCTTCGGCCGTTTCTTCAAGGGCCGGCATGTGGGCGCCAGCGACCCGTACTTCTCATGGTATGCAGCCTCCTCCGGGCAGCAGGGCGCGCGCCCCCTGGCCACGGTCTTCCACCTCTGCAAGTGCAGCGCCGCAGAGTGCGGGGCGGTCGCCCCAGTGGGCGCTGTAGTCGAGCACTTGGACGTGTGGCAGGTGGTGGACCCCCGCGATGTGGCCCGCGAGCAGGCGAAGCTCATCTGCCCGGCCGCGGATCCTGGGGCGCCTGTGCTGACCGACGCGCCCTCGGCCGAGCCGTTGCCTGGAGAGCTCGGCGGCTGGCCGCTCGGGGATGGGGCCAACGAGGACGAGGAGGAGCCTCGCGGGCCTCCGCGCAAGCGGGCCCGCGAGGTGGAGGGCACCCAGACCCCTGGCGGACCAGGAGAGACGAGCCCACTCGACCAGGAGATTGCGGGGCTCGAGGAGACCGCCGAGGACCCAGAGCTCGAGGCGCGGCTGGCGCGGCTCGGGGGCAGGGCAGCTCGTGGTGTGCCGAGGCAGGGCACGCCCAAGAATGCTGCGCGTCCAGCGGGAGCCGTGGGCGAGCGCCTGGCGCAGGTGGTAGCTGGCCGAGCCGCCGCTGCTGCCCCTGCGCGCGCCAGCGCCACGGGGTCGAGGAGCAGGCTGGCGTCAGCGTTGACCGCTGCGCTCCTGGGGCGCGACGACGACGACGCGGAGGACGGCGCGGAGAGCGACGCGGAGCGCCTTGGGGGCCGCGACCGCTACCAGGGCGTGAACATCAAGCGCGACTTGTTCCGCGGGATCGCTCGGCAGCGGCCCGGCGCTCTCCTCGAGAATGGGCTCGGCCACCTGCGCAGCCAGTTCACCCAGCAGTTATCCGCAGGCGAGGCCGACCCTCTGGCCCCGTGCGTCACACAGTTCCTGAACACGGTGTTCTTCGTTGCTCACCCGCCGCGGACGCTGGGGACAGACGAGGTGCGGGTCCTCCGCACGCTGGGGCTGGCGCTCGACGGCATCCTGCGCGGAGAGGTCGTCGAGACTGCGGATCTGCTCATGCAGGAGTTCAAGGCGCGGACGATGGCCATCCGCGACGGGAACTGGCGGTCGGCACGGTGGCTCACGCTGGTCGCGCAGGAACAGCTTCCATCAGGCGCCTCTCTGGACGAGGAGAACGCTGCCGAGAAGGTCGAGGCCCGGGAGCTGAAGGTCGCCGAACTCCGCCAGCGACTTGCAGACCGCAGGCCGGGCTAGGGGTCTGGCCGGGAGCCGTCTCCGTTGCAGGGGGGGGCGGCACCTGCAGGCCATGGGCGCGCGGAGGCGCGCCCCCCGCCCCCTGCTCCCGGGACGCCAGTCTCGGGATCGCCCGAGGCGATGAGGATCCTTGCCGGACGAATTCCAGGCGACGGTCCCGCAACTCCCCCCGCCGGGAAGAAGCCGCCAGCAGCGCGGAGGACCAGCCGCAGTCCCACGCGGTCAGTCCAGCTCCTGAGCGACTCGGAGGGGGACCTCGACGCAGCAGCCGCCGCCCGCGTGCCACCAGCGGAGGCGGCGGCAGGCCGGAGCTTCGCGGAGCACAAGGCGGCCCACCCGAGGCGCGAGGGCGAGACCCAGGCAGCGTGGAAGGCGCGCATCGGGAGGCCGCTGGCTGCCAAGAGCCGCGGCAAAGGCAAGACGGGGAAGAGCCGCGGCGCGAGCACTGCTCGCAGGACGGCCTGGGTTCGGGCGTGAGGGCCGACGCGGCTAAGGCCGCGGCCCAGAGCACGCTCCCGTCTGCCTTCCGCCCGCCTGAGCGGCAGCTACGCGGCAGCTCGCAGGCTCGGCGGTGGCGCCAGATGCTAGCCGAGGTGGGCACAGGCGTCAGCTCCAAGTTCAGGCTCGCCCTCGCAGTCCACGAGGCGGTGCACGGCTCGCCAGGGGCGATCGGGCGGTACGTTCGTAAGATGTGCACTTCGCCAGCCCCCACGGCCAGCTTCGCGCGGCTGCGCGAGGTGTTGCCGTTACCGCTGCCCGACGCCCCACTCTTTGAGAGGTACCGTGCCGCCTGGTACCTGCACCAGCAGCTGCCGGAGACCTGCGAGGTGGACGCCGCCACGGCGCAGGGGTGGGCCCAGCTCGTGGTCTTCAGCCTGAACTACCAGTACACGGGGCACATGCGTAGTCCCACCGTCGCCGCGAGGCGGCCCACGGCAAGCCAGGTCAGTGCGCTCGGCATTGTGCAGGAGGCCTGTGAGTATTTTGTTCAGGATGCCGCCACAGCCTTCGAGCTCCCGGACTGGGACCAGGTCATCGCGTCGAGGACCGTCTCCTACGGGGGCGAGGAGACGGCCCGCGCCCTGCCGCTCTCGCTTGCGGGCATCATGCCAGGCCTCCCCGCGCGAGGCGTCGCCGCCTCTGTCAAGGCGGTCGACATCGCGGACGCTCAGGTGGGCGCCTGGCTTGCCGACCCCACGCTGGCTTTGCTCCCTCGAGATGAGTGGCCTGCTGAGGTCCCGCGGGCGGCGATCCAGGTCACGTCCAAGCAGGAGTGGTACCGCATCGGGACCAAGCTCGTCGAGCTGGGGCTGGCGGCGCCGATCGCCGACGACCGCATCTTCAAGGTCGGGAGCCGCAAGGTGCTCGCTGGGGCGTTCGGGGTCGCCAAGGGAGGCGCGCCGTCACCTGGCCAGGCGTGCGTCCAGCGTTTGATCATCAACATGGTCCCGGCCAACAGCTACCAGCGCATCATGAGGGATGACATCGGGACCCTTAGCGCGTCGCCCTCGTGGGTCGCCATCCCGCTCCCAGAGGGCCACATGCTGCTCTGGTCCTCAGATGACCAAGCCTGCGCTTTCTACTGCTACGAGCTGCCCGAGGCCTGGCAGCCATACATGACCCTCGCGGAGGCGATCCCGAACGAGCTCATCGGTGTGCCGGGTCCTGGGAAGACTCACCTCGCGCTGCGTGTCATCCCGATGGGCTGGATCAACGCGGTCACGGTGTTTCAGCACTGCCACAGGCGCCTCGGGTTCGGCTCCCGCCCCCTCGCTGCGGGGTTTCCCGCAGAGCTCGAGTGGCGCAAGGACCGACCACTTCCGTTCAAGTCGAAGGAGCTCGAGCAGCAGTGGATCCAGTACTACATCGACGACTGGGACCATGGCGAGGTGGTGCCCAACGCGATGGTCGCGGAGCTCCTCGGCACGATGAGCTGCGCGCAGAAGGAGCAGAGGGCCGCCTACGACCGCTCGGGGATCAGCGTCGCCCCCGCCAAGGCCAAGCACCGCGCGCTGGTCCTGGAGCGGATGGGCGCGGGTCTTGACGGGGCCGTCGGCCGGGTCGGAGTCACGACCGAGAAGTTGCACCAGCTGCTGGCGTTCATCTTGTGGGGCATGGGCAGACAGGGCCTCTCGTCGCAGGGCATGCTCATGATCCTAGGCAGGTGCGTCAGGGCAGCGGAGTTCAGGAGGCCTTTCATGGGATTCCTCAACAGCGTGTGGGCTGCTGGGCGCTGGACGCGTCCGCAGGCTGTTCCCCTTGGCATGTGCGACGAGCTCTTGGGCTTCGCGATGGCGCTGCCGCTGGCCTACACCGACCTGCGCGCAAAGATCGACACTTGTGTCATAGCGACCGATGCCAGCGAGCGCGCCGGGGGCATCTGCCACACGGCCGGGCTCTCGGCGCAGGGCGTTGCGTGCGCGAGAGGGGGAGCTTCGGCTGTGACTTTGCGGCCTGGTGCAGTTGCGGCCCCTGTGCGGGGAGTGCGGTGGCGCCCTCGCATAGTTCTCATCGAGCTCTTCGCAGGCGCCGCTGGGGCCGCGGTGGCGGCCTCCAGACTCCCGATCGACGTGATGGCCCATGTCAGCTGCGAGGTCGAGCCCGCTGCCCGGCGACTGGTGCGTCGCCGCTGGGCGGGCGTGATCGAGCTTGGCAACATCGAGGCCATCGACACGGCGCGGTTTACTGAGATGCTGAAGGGCTACGCGCGGGACGCCGACTGGGTCGTCTTGACCGCGGGGAGCCCGTGCCAAGACCTTGC